TACGGTGATAGATCATAGAGTGATGAAACATGAACTCGATGACATATCTGTGGTGGCAGATACACAAAACACGGTAAATTAATCCCTGGCAAGTGACTGAGTGAACAATGCTTGTGGTGAAGCATTAGTAACAGAATAGGGCTTAGACATCCACCCTGCCTAAACCCTGCACTCGCTGTAAGGTTACCAGGACCATGGAAGAATGTACAAGTGGGTTGGAGGATTATGATCACTGCCCACAGCTACGACAGAATTTGAAATAGTTTGATTCTTCGTGTAACGGGTACCTGAGTTTGTTCAAATATAACCAGCTTCTCATAAATGACAACAATAAACATGCAGGGCTTCACGTCTGTAAACCATATTTTTGTAGCTATGTAACTCAAGGTTAGACGAAATGTTTTTATTACGGTCCCGTCGTACTTAAAAACGTTTCCAAGATGAATATTGTAAGTTCCACAAATGAACAATCGATTTATATTGCCATAATAAAGCTGTATCTACATTAGATACATTGTGGGTAATATTGCTGACGATAGCAAATAACAATTTACCGAAACACACAATACAAGAAGTTGCTTTGATGTGACATGAGCAATCACATTTTAAACATTTGTGAATATTTTGTGCTTTAACGTCAGGAAGCATGAAGTCAGTTTATAGAAGAAATGCATTATTCTAAACACTTGCGCATATATTGTATGTGTGTGTAGATGAATTAATATTTTGCTGATACATTGGTATCGGTCCTTTAATTAACCAAAATATATTGATTATATTGCCAGTTTGAATGGCTGTCGATATGCTGAAAATTGAGTAAACATAACATCATAAAATTTTAAGAATATATTGATTGTATAGGCTTTTATCGCGTTGAGGGAACATTTCTGAAATATATCATTTGCAATTGCACATACCATATACCTAAGTAAACTAGGCAAACTAGGGTGTTCAATATGGCTGCCTTAGTGGCCAAGTTTATGATCGCATCTGAATGGTGTGTATATGTCGTAAAGACAATATATACTGATGTTTAAAGCTGGTATGTGTTGTAACCCTGCCTGGCGCTCGGCATTAAGAGGAGAAAACAAGGACTGGCCGCTAATGTATCTGAGTTTTACACGAGCATCTGGGGGCACGGGAGGAACAGTCGTCTAAGGCTCCGCAATTCGCTGTGCGGAGTTGCGTCCCTTGGGCACACCAGAAACCTATGATTGTGGGTTCGAATCCCAGTTCGCCCCAGTTATGTTTCTTGGTTTGTCAGCACCACACCCGTGCTCGTGGGTTTCACCTAAATGGTAAACGTCTAAGACCTGCATCACTTGGGGCTTTCCTCCCACATTAAGCTGACACTCCGTGATATGAGTGCAATACTGTTAAAATCGGCGTTAAACACAACTCACTCACTCATTACACAAGCATCTTAGTGGGCTAACACTTAAAACCCTGCATAATTACGGACTCGTACAATCAGCCACACATACACGTGCATGCACGTTGCTATATAAATGCAGTGATCTTGATCACATTAAACACCTTGATCACCTCAAGAGGAGGACGAGATTACATACATTGATCGCGGACAGACGAACGGAAACCCATGGCTATATTCAGCCACCCTCCGACTCAGATGGGTTCACGGGCCATGCCCCGTATCTACAATGATGTAATCATCACACCCACCGATGTAACGCCAGGGTATGTTTCAGGAACATCCAGAGCGGTCATTCTCGGTTAATGGGGCCTAACGTTTTCGAAGATCTTCTACAATGTTGTATTAGCGAGCCCTGATGCGCTGACAAGCCTGAACAAACAGCCCTTGTAAACATCGGCCATCTGGGAGTATTGACGGAACAAAGCCGCGTGTGCCTACCCACATATCACACTGACTTTAAACTGCTGTCACCTCTCAAGCTCTGTACCAGTGATGACTGTCCGGTGGTCCAGCTGTTCAGCAGTGACCACGTCACACAGAGGTGTATTCAACACGAAAAATCCATATGGATTTGCGATGTATTTCAATAACAAGGGTCAACGGCTACAATTTTCCATGTTCGTATTCAAAACCTCGCCCGACAGCTGATGGACGTTGGTGTGCGACAAGGCAACATGCTTGAACCCTATTGACTTTACATTGTCAGATGCGTTAATGATGATTAAGAGGATAGGTATGAGATTTAAATTAGGAGATAAACATATTGGATTTTATTTGGAGGTAGAAACATTTAGTATTGTAAATTCCATACATCTAATTCATTTCCACCAATGCCTCCCAAATATTACGACGGGGGACACCAAAATGGGTTTCCTACATTGTACCCATGTGAGGAATCGAACCTGGGCCTTCGTCGTGACAAGTGAACGCTTAAACACTGCGCTCCCCTAATTCAGTTTGAATCCGAGTGAGAGATTTGTAGGTAAACGCCACCACCTACACATATCTCGGCGAGCATCGTTGTTCATTGTGTAGAAGCCTGCAGACCCGGTTGACATTGATGCCATAACTTCGAAGGAACAGGCAGGCACGCAGGCACGCAGGCACGCAGGCACGCACGCACACACGCACACACGCACACACGCACACACGCACGCACGCACGCACGCACGCGGATTGGGTGCCAACAAACCAGAAATCGGTAATGGATAAAATTTGGATTCGAAATCACGTTGAGCGACTTCTAGCAACCGCGGGAGACAACCTAATATGGTGACGTTGAGTTTGAATTCTTTAAGGGGAACGAAATCAAATCTGATTCATGTCTTCAGCCAGGTCTCGTAGCCGACATAAATTAATATTTAGTTACTTCGTTGGATTTTCCAGAACAGAAGAGATGCCAAGTAAATTGTAGCATAATGATAACACAGACAGGTGAGAGGCTAGAAAAACAAATTGGAATATTCTGAAGCCATTTTACTACGAGCTTCAAGGCTTGAATGAAGTGTCGCTATGACACTAATGTTTCACTGTAGGGAAGCGGGTTTCTGACACTATCTGCCTGCTCGTACTGAGGTAACAGGAGGACACGGAGTACAACCTTGCTTGACCGGTCACAGAATGTAGGAAGAATGAGACCGAGGTGAAGGGATATCCACTGTTGGTCCAGCGATTAGGATTCTCCTCGCAAGGACATGGCAATATGAAACACTTCCTAATACGTCGGGGCGCAGATTCTTCATTTGTAGAGGCGGACAAAGGCCATTAAATGTGACAGTACTGTATGCCACCATGTGCCAGTTCTGTATGACATCATGCGACAGCTCTGTATGACATGTGACAGTTCTGTATGACATCATGTGACAGTTCTTTATGACATCATGTGACAGTTCTGTATGACACCATGTGACAGTTCTGTATGACATGAGACAGTTCTGTATGACATCATGTGGCAGTTCTGTATGACAGTTCTGTATGACATGAGACAGTTCTGTATGACATGAGACAGTTCTGTATGACATGCGACAGATTGTATTATATGAGACAGTTCTGTATGACATGAGACAGTTCTGTATGACATGCAGCAGTTCTGTATGACACCAGGTGACAGTTCTGTATGACATGTGACAGTTCTGTATGACATCATGTGACTGTTCTGTATGACATCATGTGACAGTTCTGTATGACACCATGCGACAGTTATGTATGACATGGGACGGTTCTGTATGACACCATGTGGCAATTCTGTATGACACCATGTGACAGTTCTGTATGACCTCATGTGGCAGTTCTGTATGACAGTTCTGTATGACACCATGTGACAGTTCTGTATGACATGAGGCAGTTCTGTATGACATCATGTGACAGGTCTGTATCATATCATGATATCATGTTACAGTTCTGTATGACACCATGTGACAGTTTTGTATGACACCATGTGACAGTTCTGTATGACATGTGACAGTTCTGTATGACATATGACAGTTCTGTATGACATGAGACAGTTCTGTATGACCCCATGTGATAGTTCTGTCAGACACCATGTGGCAGTTTTGTATGACATGTGACAGTTCTGTATTACACCATGTGACAGTTCTGTTATTTGTGATAACTGTTACATGCATCCCTGTCTTGTGATTACTGTAACACGTATCCCCGTTTTCATATTACTGTTACACGCATCCTCTGCTTGAGATTACTGCTACACGCATCCCCGTCTAGTGATTACTTTTAAACATATCCCCGTCATGAAATTAATGTTACATGCATCCCCGTCTTGATATCACTGTTACATGCATCCCCGTCTTGATATCACTGTTACATGCATCCCCGTCCTGATATAACTGTTACAAACACCCCCGTCTAGAGATTACTGTTACATGCATTCCTGTCTTGATATTACTGTTACACGCATTCCCGTTTTGATATAACCGTTGCGCATCCCCGTCTTGATATTAATGTTACACGCACGCCCGTCTTAATTTTACCGTTACACGCATCCCTCTCTTGATATCACTGTTAGGCATTAAGTCAAAAACCTTTTTGTATGCAAATGGTGTGAGCGAAGACGTATCCGTATAGCCAGTCTTTTATACAGTTTCAGGCAAAACAGTGGTAAGGTATCAACGAATTTGTAACGAAAACATGCATCATGCAGCTGAAAAGGCTACATCAAAATGATAAGAGTGAGTTAGTTAGAATTGTTTTACGCCGCTTTTTGCAATATTACAGCAATATCACGGCGGGGGACCCGAGAAATTGGCTTCACACATTGTACCCATGTGGGTGTTCGGCGTGTCGAGCGAACGCTTTAACCACTAGGCTTCCGCACCGCCCCCAAAATGATAAGAACGTGGCAACCTTAGAAACTGAGCAAAGCCTAGCGTTAAAATAAAAAACCCGTTGAAGACAAACTTTATAACATATCACCTCGTTAAAAGGCCATATACAACCAGGTATATTGATATTTAAGTCACATAATAAACATGAAGACAGATAAGACATGACGCATCTCTAGTTATCTTTGACCACGAGGCATGTGTTTTTGCCGAGAGCCCCGTCTTACCTTGTTTCCAACAAAGTAACCTGAGTCAGCATCTGTGAGCAACTTCTCGAAATAGCCTAAAAATCGCGGCAGATCTGTCTTGTCGAACTTGTCCCGCAGCGTATTCTGTGATTCAGAGAATAAAAATGATTTAAAGGTCATTAATATTCAATTGGGCTGAAGATATGTTACATTCTTGTGGTATAAACAAAGTATGCCTTAAAGCCAAATGGTCTTATTATCTCTTGATTAAACGGAACAATGCATTTCCGAGATATCTTAGACTAGTGGGGGCTAAACGGGTGATTAGATTAATTTTAATATATTCGGCATTCTGCTCAATTTTGAAATCAGTAATGCATGTTTTTATCAAATAAAACATAATGAGTGAAATATGCATTTGATTACCCTTGTGTCTAACTCAAAAGGACCTTATGAAAGCTTCGACTTATCCGAATGTTCGACAAATTCAGTACTGCATGGGTTTTTTACAAATAAAATGAGAGAATTATGCATTTGATTGCCGATTGTTCGACACATCCGAATTCAGATTTTAAATGCCATTCAAAGTAATCATATGGTATGTGAACTACACTAAACTGGTGTAGAGTATTTCATGTAAAACGGGCAATTTAAAGTGTTTAGCATAAAGCATAAAAGCATAAAAGATTCATGATATTAATTCGACATGTCAGGGCAATTTGGGACTTGGAACTACACAATCAGTCCGAGTTACTAGTAACAGCACATTCGACACATCCAACAAGACGTATCAGAGGTCAAATAATAATAGTTGATGGAATTCAATGGACACATTCGAAAATTCGACACATCTGAATTCTGCAATGGCTCCTACCTTTTTCTGTTCGTCTTTCTCGTGGTAAATCTTAACGAAGAAGTCTCTTAGATCTTCCGCAAGACCAACAACTTCGTCGATCTGGAACATGTCGATATTCGTTTTACCATATAACCCTGAAAAATAAGCGGACATACATAAATATACTGAAAAGGCTTTTATAGTTTGACAACACTGGTTACGATTGATTAACGGATGACGTATAACAAAAACTCGATATGTCAGACTCCGTTATATGGACATACTGTTATGCTTGATATAACTCGAGATCATATTGCAATTGTTCATATCTGTTTGTTTGTTTGTTTATTGTTTAACGCCGCACTCCGCAATATTCCAGCTATATGACGGCGGTCTGTAAATAATCGAGTATGAACCAGACAAGCCAATGATTGACAACATGAGCATCGATCCACGCAATTAGGATCGATGGCATACATCAACCAAGTCAGCGAGCCTGACTACCCGATCCCGTTCGTCGCCTCTCACGACAAGCACAGTCGCCTTTTACGGCAAGCATGGTTGCTGAAGACCTATTCTACCCCGGATCTTAACAGGCCTTGTTCATGTCTGATGTGACTTTACAGTATTGTGTGCATACACGATTCTGCTCCGCCTCCACAACAATTACTCCCCTACGGATAATATGAAGTTATAGACTCTCGGATTGACTGGTTCATGTCTGGAATTGTGTCGCGTCATATTGTATTAGAAATGAGTTATCGTCACAATTAATTTGACCCGTGAAGATCCGGGTTGGAATAGGTCTTCAGCAAACATTGCTTGTCGTAAGAGGCGACTAACGGGATCGGGTGGTCAGACTCGCTGACTCGGTTCTCAAGTCATCGAATCCCAATTGCGTGGATCGATGCTCATGATGTCAATCACTGGATTGTCTGGTTCAAACTCGATATTATTTACAGACCGCCCTCATATAGCTAGAATATTGCTGAGTGCGGCGTAAGCAAGCAACCAACAAACAAACAAACACAATTTATTCTAATCAATCTAATTTCAACCGATAGACATGTTGGGGTCCTTCTTCTAAAGCAGGTACAGAAGTTCCATAAATCAGATGATTTATGACTTGAGTCACAATGCTTTAGTGTTTTGTTTCATTTCACACATTTTCATTTAATTACATCTTTTCAATTAACTAGCATTGGATTGGTGTTTTCGAAGTATGCATTATTGCAACCTGACAATGTTTGTATAATTATACTTTCGTACTTTTTTGTGGGCACACGAGTGACATTGTTTTGCCAACTGACTGTTATTCAGAGTGTTTAAACATACCTCCTAATGTCACTGGTTGAAGGTATGTAAGAATGTTTTCCCGGAATAGATCAACGTGTCACAATGGAGGAGGCCCGACATTAATATACACACATGTCATGATACTGGCTCAAGGCTAGACAGGTTGTTTTAATTTGGATTTTTTGTGAAATTTGAAATATTTAAGCAAACAACACTTCATCCATGAATGATCTTGGCATCAATATTGACATGAAATCCGATTAAATTATGACGTAATTGAATTATTATAGGACACCGTAAATCATCGGTGAAGATAAAATGTATAAAAGGTTTAATAATGAAATTGTTTAAGCAAAGGCGACAAAACGTGTTATACCTTTACATAATAATGGCTACGCCTAAACATTAATAAACTGACCGTTAAGATTTTCGATATGGCCGCGGCAGAAACCATTTGGAACCAGTACATGTTACATTTCATTAATCCTGCATGCAATATTTCAGCATGTAACACCTCATCATCACAATTACGGAATGCATATATAATCTGCTACTGAAACTGAAATATCGACACATGCAAAAATAGCTGAGGAATGGAAGAAAATGATATTTTCAAAATGGCTGCAGTGACAGCCATGTTTAGCATCGCAACGGGACTTTGTGGGACGGTTTGCACTGTTTTCGTCTAAATCTAGCCTGAACGTCTAATCTAATCGGACATTGAGCGATGATATCGTCATCGGGGGAAATACCGATGCCCGACAGATTAACCGATGATTTAGTGATTCGGTGACAAATGATATTTTCAAAATGGCTGCAGTGACAGCCATGTTTAGCATCGCAACGGGACTTTGTGGGACGGATGCACTGTATTCGTCTAAATCTAGTCTAAACGTCTAATCTAAACGGACACTGAGCAATGATATCGTCATCGGGGGAAATACCGATGCCCGACAGATTAACCGATGATTTAGTGATTCGGTGACAAATGATATTTTCAAAATGGCTGCAGTGACAGCCATGTTTAGCATCGCAACGGGACTTTGTGGGACGGATGCACTGTATTCGTCTAAATCTAGTCTAAACGTCTAATCTAAACGGACACTGAGCGATGATATCGTCATCGGGGGAAATACCGATGCCCGACAGATTAACCGATGATTTAGTGATTCGGTGACAAATGATATTTTCAAAATGGCTGCAGTGACAGCCATGTTTAGCATCGCAACGGGACTTTGTGGGACGGATGCACTGTATTCGTCTAAATCTAGTCTAAACGTCTAATCTAAACGGACACTGAGCGATGATATCGTCATCGGGGGAAATACCGATGCCCGACAGATTAACCGATGATTTAGTTATGGAGACGATGTAAATACACTTGAAAATAAAACGTCGAGGCTTACCGTATTCTCGTGCAATATACCTCGCCATTGCGAAACTCTGTGAAAACTTCTTGCCATCTACCTCGAGGACGGGTAACATCCCAAAACGGGTAGCTGAAAAAGTGGTAAAACGCAAAGCTGTAATACAGGACATTCAGAGGCCGTCGGTTGAACCTGTCAAGAGAATACATGTGATCCACTCTTTCACATAAACAATTAAAATGGTTTATTCCATCAGTGAATGTTTGTTTTTTTAACGCCGCACTCGCCAATATTCAAATTATATTATGGCGGTCTGTAAATAATCGAGTCTGGACCAGACAATCATGTGGATGACATCATGACCATCGAGTCGCGTAACTGGGATCCGAAGACATGCATCAACCAAATCAGCGAGCCCGACCACCCGATCCCGTTAGTCGCCTCGTACGACAAGCAAAGGGTTGTCTAAGGCCAAATCTTCACAGGGGTTGAACACCATGTCAAGTTGGATTCATATCGACAGCTAGAACGTGCCCCACAAATTATGCCATTGAGAAGGTAGATTATATATTTACGCAGAAAAATAAAGTTAGGCGACAAAGTGAGGACTGGCGCTTGTTCGATACCTAGGCTATTAAATCTTTAATTTGGCAACCATTTGTTAAACAATTGTCAATGAGTGAGTGAGTGCGTTTGGTTTCACGCCGCTCTGAGCGGTATTCCAGTTATATCGCGGCGTGAGTGCTGAGTTATTTGGGAAGTGATGCAGGTCTCATACATTTACTACTTTGGTGAAACCCACGAGCTGCCGTGTATGGTGCTGACAACCCTAGAAACACAATCCGGGCGAACCGGGATTCGAACCCACGATCAAAGGTTTCTGGCGAGCACAAAAGACATAACTCAACACTGCGAATAGCGGCGCCTTTGACGACTGGGTCACCAGTGCCCCCTTAGCTAATTTTAACCTTATGTCTATGCTTAAGTGGTAATATATTAACAGTCTTTACCTTTCTTGTTGTTTTTTTATGACGAGATTGGTTGGTGACTGTGCATTTACGTTTCGCTTGATGCACTTATTAACCGCAGAGTCAAATACAAAGCGCTCATTTCAGTACCGACAAAAGCATATGCATCTTTTAGTACGGTTATGGGGCACGGGTGGCCCAGTCGTCTAAGGCGCCGTGATTCGCTGTGCAGAGTTGCGTCCCTTGGGCACGCCAGAAACCTATGATTGAGGGTTCGGAGCCCGGTTCGCCCCGATTATGTTTCTAGGTTTGTCAGTACCATACCCGTGCTCATGGGTTTCATCGAAGTGGTAAGCGTCTGAGACCTGCATCACTTCGGGCTTTCCTCCCACATTAAGTTGACAAGCTGCAATATAACTGTAATACTGCTAAAAGCGGCGTTAAACCCAACTCACTCACTTTAGTACAGTTACCACATATACATCAAACCTTCATCACACCATAATATTCTACGCTTTGAGAATAAAGATTTGCGAGACGTCTTACCTTTAAAGTCACAACGGCGTCATGTAACGCTGTTTTAAGACTTTATATTAGGGCTTTCGTGAATCATACCATTCATTGATTTACCTTTGTTGTATTCTAAAGGTGACCTGCCATAATACTGGGATTTATCCTATTTTTTAAAAGAAATCCAATATACCTGACGGTTTGAACTTGGCAGAATAATTCTCAGCTGCGTCGCTTCCTACCGTAATAAACTGACGTCAAATGCCGCCAAGTCACACCTATACACGACAGCTCGAGTTGCGCTGAGGCCACTAAGCGCACACGCAGACATAAAAAAAACTCTTCCTACCTATAGTATGTGGGTAATGAGATGATTTAATGTTCTGTGCTTGACGCGATGAACCTTCCAGAAAACAACAGCTCTTGGTACTAACTCTCCAATACAATAAATTTCAGTCTCTCAACGCCAACTCTCCACAACCTATAACATACTCTTCTGCAAACAAAACAATAAATTAGAATAAAAACTAACTTCGTGACGGTGAATCTCCGTCTCTGGGATTTAACGTGGTTGGCAGTTGCTATTTATCATGTGTTGCACTTAAGGGTCGAGTATACACAGCCACATTGACCCAGGTTAATTAAATACCTTTATCATGAGGGCTACAGGTACAGGGCAATCAGTGTCTTCAAGAACGACCATAAACTACTGGAAATAATGAAATGCCTTCTAATAAATGTCACTTCACTACATAAGCTAGAAACGCGAGAGGGACTTTTTCAACATGTGACTTCCAACACCATACGAAACAGCGAACTTAACAAACTTGTTTCTAAGTGCATATTGTGGGATTTTATTATCCATTAAATGCGTTATATATTTCACAAACAAAATATATATACTCATCTACAATAGAAACGGCCATGATCATGAACCTCGTCACAGCAGTACAACTGCTCACAGTTCTTACCTCACAATCGTCACGATGTGGATAAAATATTGCCGATGTGACGTTAAACTTTAACTCACTCACTCTTACCTCACAGCCAAATTCAATTCAATAAGCAGGCCTACTTTCGCAACACCACAATTAATGTCGACGATCGATGTAAAAAGAACCATATCATATTTTTTCAGGTTAGAAAATTACCATATTTCATTCAGAAGTTTAACTTGGAAACTTATCAAATGGAATTTAATACTGACCCACGATGAAAATATCGCAATGAATTAACGCAGCCCTTGCATAAAACTCCAAGCTATGGAACATAAACCCCGATTTTGTGCCCCTTTTTAAGTAAGTAGCATTATATGCGCGTTTATTTGCATATTTAAGTGCATGTAGTCTATATTTCCCGTCGGTTCAACCCGTCAATGACAATACCATCGACAGTGCTTAAGGATTAGATAATAACCCGTCCACTCATCCGTATTTTGATCATCGCATCAAGAAAAGGGCAATGCAAGTTGGAACGAATGCTTTATTCTTCCAAACATCATCAAATGTGTTTAGTTTAAATCAAGTAGAAGATAGGTAGATAGCATCGGGACTGATGTCGCCTGCGGTCTTTGAGTTGTCAATGTCGACGAGTGCAGGCTTTTCAGCACTACCTGTGTGTATAAGAACTTTGAGGGAGGGCCTCGTTCTGGGAAATAAGGGCTAACACAACACTGCTGATGATAAGCTCGAGTGTACTGGGTGCCTCTCGTCACAGCCGACTCGTATTTCGTACAGTGTCGAAACCAACCAGAAGGCCCTATTCAAACGTTCGGAGCCAATGATGTGTCATTCAGGTCGAATGACTTAAACAGCATCGAGAAAAAAGGAGAGGGTTAGCTGAATAGACTGAACGGAATAGACTCAACGTATTTCATCCGCAAATCAACGGAGGAAAAAGCATTAAGTACGATCTCTATATAACATGATTCATCTGATATCAGGGCTGTAACCCATATGAGAAGGAGCTGAAAGGACGCTACAGGTGGTGACGTTCACCTGATCACTATCGCCACGGATTAGTTTCATTGAAGGGAATAACCTAGACTGGATGCCTGTAACTCCCACGTAGTTTATAACCTTGTGAAATGAATCTAATGCGCCGTAAAATAGTTCTAACAAGCACAGGATTGAGTTAACCCTTTGAAATGAGCGCTACTATGACGTTTAGAATAGAATTGATTTTCTATCCGTTGACGCCAGGTAACGCTGCATAGTGCTTTACATTGCGGTGCGTGGTTCATTTGCCGCTACGGCATGTATCTCCAAGTGCATTGTAATAATTGTCCTTGGAGTGAGTGAGTTGGGTTTTACGCCGCTTTTAACAGTATTCTAGTTATGTCACGGCGTGTCAGCTTAATGTGGGAGGAAAGCCCGAAGTGATGCAGGTCTCAGACGTTTACCACTTCGGTGAAACCCACGAGCACGGGTATGGTGCTGACAAACCTAGAAACATAATCGTGGCGAACCGGGATTCGAACCCACAATGATAGGCGTGCCCAAGGGACGCAACTCTGCACAGAGAATCGCGGCGCCTTAGACGACTGGGCCACCCGTGCCCCAAATTGTCCTTGGAATTGAGCGCGTGTGGTGGGTTTAATATGTGTCGCTTCTACAGTATTGCAGTGTTGTAATGGCGGGGGATTTAGTAATGGATTTACATTTTGACCTTATGAGGAATCGAACCGGGGTTTTTTGGTGACGAGCGAACGTTTGAACTACTGTGCTACCTAACAGGTGTGTAAGTGACGATGATGGTCATCAATCGGTTTAACAAAGCTGCTGCAGTTGAAACGAAGAAAAAACGTAAATAAACAATTATTTAAAACAATGTCTACTATGTATATCAAAACAAACTTTCGTGAGCAGCTCTCGAAATGTGTCGAAATGTCGAATAATAACAGCCAAAATAATCACCCCAAGTCCACTGTCAGTCGAACCCTGTCCTTTCGAACTCCAGGAGACAACAAAATAGTTCGACTAACGCGGGGTTCGACACATCCGAGGAGACGTTATTACCATTGGACATCAGAAAAGCAAACGTATCACATCGTGCTTGTTTTGTGAATAACATTTTAATAAGAAGAAAGAAGACATAAGCATCAGTCGGGTCTTCATTCTTGCATATATATGTCAGCTATTCATCCCGGTAGATTATCAGGACATCATACAATAAGTAATAAGTATAATTTTGACCTATATTTAACTCTTGGGACAATAAATTGTGTTCACAACAACCGTGATTTCGTCACAGCCAGTTCGAAAATCTGTGTTAAAATAACACTAAGTGACGGTAACGTTTTCCGTGACCGGACTGTTATTTCGACACAACCGGTGAGACATCCGAGTTCGAGACAACGTTGTTCGATTCTACATACAGAACGAGTAAATGGGAAAGATGTCTCGCGTGTGGAACAATGAGTGAGACAGCGAAAACAGCCACTGCTGATGCTGGGTGCAACATGTCACCATGAATTATTAAACCCATAAAACAAGCGTGACTTGGGTGCAATCGCAACGCGAACGAGACATTTCTATGTGTTCCTGGAGTAATGCATACACGAAACAGCTACAAATACTGTCTCCATTCATGCTGAAGACAACACTACGTTGCCTCGGAGGTTTCAACTTAAATTTGTTATCACTCCGGTTTCAG